AGAAAAAAAGATGAGCTGTGAGTGACCCTGGATCTTCAGGCCTTAATGATGTTGATGGCTGGCAACAGAAGGAGACTGTGTTGATGACTAATGGGTGAACAGCATATGCGGTGTGGATGTACCGAACAAAGAGATAATTCACATCCTGGTCTGGATGGAGGGGCTCAAGTTTTCATCGCACTTCTCAGACTGGCACATTAAAACTTATGACATGTTTACTTCTGAAGCTTTCCACGTGATATTTTGGGAATACAGTTGACTATTTGCTTTCACCACAGAAATAAAAACTGAATGTAAAATCTGTGTTTGGACGTTGACTCATTTCTTGGTGTACAATTCTTAAAATCATTAGAAATTCCAAGCTGGTGTCTTTTTGTATGCTAATGACTGATGGCTGGAAGCCCCTATGTAGACTCAGGATGGCAAATGGTCATTATTGTGAAGACACTGATTAGAGGGTTGAGATCTCCAGTCTCACTCTGTAGACTTGGGGGCCAAGAGAAAGCCTGAAGGTTTTCAGTCACCACTGGCCTGTGATTTACTTAATCAGTGGTGCATATGTAATAAAGCTTTCATAAAGACCCAAAGAGACTGGGCTTAGAGAGCTTCCAGTTTGCTGGATACATTGAGGTTCCTGGAGGACGATGTGTCCTGGGAGGGCATGTAATCTTCGTCCCACTTCCCCCCACACTTTGCAATGTGCATCTCTTCATCTGTACCTTTTGTAATGTCATTCATAGCAAACTGGTAAATGTGTTTCCCTGAGTACTTTGAGCTATTCCAACAATTCAGTTTAACCCAAAGAGGGAGTCCTGGGAACCTCAATTGAACCTCAAATTGAAGCCAGTTGGTCAGAAGTTTTGGAGCTTCAGACTTAGGACTGATGTAGGGAGGCAGACTCATGGGACTGAACCCTTTACCTGTGGAATCTGATGCTACCTGCAGATAGAGTATGAGAACTGAATTAAAGGACACCCAGCTTGTGTCATCTACAGAAATGATTGCTTGCTTGTTGGTGGGGAAAAACCCTCCCCAGGTTTGATCACGGAAGCCTTCTTTGTTGATGACTGTTTCTATGGTGTGGGAACAGAGAAAAATGTGGCAAATATGTCTCTTCCACACATGTTGTGGATAAGGGAACTACTGTATACTAACTGCCCTTCATACTTTGGTTCAGAAATTATGTTCTTTGACACTGGTCACTCATCAGACCTGTTCTGATAACAATACCGTTTTTAGTCAATCTTATATGGTTTGTCTAAGATGACTGGTATACTGCAGTTCATTTGTAGATATCAAATTTTGATGAATTTATTCTTTGCATTTAGTAAATAAAAAGGAAAGTAAGAGTTCTTACTGCACTAATTACATACCAGTAGGTATAATTTATATTAATTCTAATAAGCTCTCACGTATGCTCCTGAAGGAATGCTTTATAACAAATCATCAGTCCTATACTTTAAAGAAAAATGGTCTAAAGCATGCACACAAGTGTGCATAATTTATTTAATGAAGGCAGAGTCTTGCTGTTTTCCAAACTGGTCTCAAACTTCTGGGTTTCTCAAGTGATCCTCCTGCCTCAGTCTCCCAAGTAGTTGAGATTACAGGCATGCATGACTGTGCCTTCTTATGTTTTTAATATTCTATATATTTATTATTGACTTATAATGCATTTTATCTTTTCCTTTAATAGATCCTGGGAGTGCTGATGAATCTACAGTCAGGTAGGATTTTACAGATTTAAAAAATTATATTAACTAAGGGAATATAGATTGAAGAAACTAATATCTGTTGAGTGTTGTATTCTGGGCTAACCACCCTATTATGTGCTATGCATTTATCTCATAAAGCCATCACAACATCTGTGTTCTTATAACCTACTATTTATTAAATAGGGAGCTGTGGTTTAGAGAGATTGATTAATCATTTCATAACCCCATAGTTAACAAAGTAGCTGATTCACAATTAAACCATCAGCCTGCCTGGCTTCCAAATCTTTCTTTTGCTCCTCAGCATAGATGGATAAAGATCTGTGCAGCAAATGAATCAAGATATATGTTAGAATCAGATTAATGAATACAGTCAAATCTAGTTATATGTTAACTCTCATTTAAGGTTATTGTTAGAAATGAGGTTGGTCTAAGAGTTTGTCCTAATAAACTTGACAATTTCAGTGGTAACCAATATCTTAACTTTACCATCAAAGGCTTTAGGGCAGTGTAAAGGTTTGGCCATAGGATTGTAAATTTTGCAAAACCAAGATTAGTCAAGTCTTAGAGAGAAATTACTTGACTTCCCAGTTTGGTTTTCCCGTTAGGCTAGTATTTCTGCCTACTTCCACAATATTTTTTTTTAGCCTTTTTTTTCTTTTTCAATGACATTTTCATAACCTCTTGATGTTTTAAAGTGTTCTCTGCTTTTGGTGTTTCTTTTGTTCTATTATTTTTTCATATTCTGCTGGCTATGTATCCCCAATTCTCCTATAGACAATCAAAAGCATGCAGAATTTCAGAATTTTAAGGAATCATAGGACTAATTAAAATAACCTCTAGTATTTCAACGTGTGTTAAACATTCTGGTCAAGTGTTTTTCTAGATAGAGAACCTGAGACTCAAATAGATTAGGATAGTTTTCTTTTTGGACATAGGAAGTGGCAGAAATGAAATTTAACTTATTTTAAAGCCCAGTACTCACCCTTCTTTTTTTATTTTACGGGTGCTTTTAGTTGTTGTTGTTGTTGTTGACAGAGTCTTGCTCTCTCGCCCAGGCTGAGTGTAGTGGCGCAGTCTAGGCTCATTGTAACATCTGCCTGAGTTCTAGCAATTCTCCTGCCTCAGCCTCCCAAAGACCTGGGATTACAGCCACATTGTGGTGGCTCACACCTGTAATCCCAGCACTTTGGGAGGCTGAGGCAAGTGGATTATGGGGTCAAGAGATCCAGATCATCCTGGGCAAAATGGTGAAAATCAGACTACTAAAAATACAAAACAAATTAGCTGGGCATGGTGGCAGGCACCTGTGTTCCCAGCTACTTGGGAGGCTGAGACGGAAGAATTGCTTGAACATGGGAGGTGGAGGTTGCAGTGAGCTGAGATCATGCGATTGCACTCTTGCCTGGTGACACGGTGAGACTCTGTCTCAGATAATGATGATGACGATACAAAGGGAGAGTGAGTCTGGTGCACCCAGAGGATAGAATGAGAAAGAAATTAACTGATAAACCCAATGGCAGTGGCTAGGAATGGAATGAGCAGGGGAAGGCCAAGTTTGAAGAGAAACAATACTTTATTGGATAGGAATACGAATTCTTCATTAAAAGATCAGAATATTGGAGTTTATGACAAGTTTAATAAAGATAAATTACAAAGATGAAGAACACAGGATGTTGGGAATTTACAAGGCACATTAAAATAGAGGGTTCAAGGGAGCTATAAACAGGTTGCTGCTTTTTTTGATCAATAACTGACAAACGAAGATTTTTACTGAAAGATGCTAAAACATTTTGAGACACTGGGAAGAGTCTCTACAGCAGACAGAAATGTAGTATCACATGCTTCCATTCTGACTTACAGAGGGGTGGTTTAGAGCTTCTTGAGTACTAGGCTGGAGATTGCTGAACTACATAGATCTGTAGCCCAGGGCAGGTTCCTCCTCACCTCTGCTTCTTTTCATAATTCACTGATGGCCTTCCAGTGTTCATGTAGGCTGGGTCAGGGGCATGATTGACTGGCCAATCAGTGATGAAGTTCAGTTGGGTAATTGGAGGTGTGTCTATGCTGGGGGCAGTTGATGGAGACTCCAGGTAACTTGTTATTTAGGAGCAGGGATGTAGAGAGCCACTCCTGGTCATTTGAGGCCGTCCTTTCAGGAATCTATGCTTTCATAGATTGAAGATTTGAATATTGGAGACTGCCATGGAGCCCTGCACAAGTGGAATCTGGAAGCCCATAGGAAGAAAGATATTTATATAGAACTTAGGGAAATAGAGGTACAACTACCAAGACTGTTTTTCCAGCAGTCTCTCTTCTTGGATATCTGAGTGCCTATGAAGGTTTTCTTTTTGAGAGGGAGTCTCACTCCATCACCCAGGCTGGAGTACAGTGGCATGATCTCAGCTCACCACAACCTCTGCCTTGAAGGTTCAAGCATAATAGCCTCCCTAGTAGCTGAAATTACAGGTGTTTGCCACCACGCCAGGCTGTTTGCATTTTTAGTGGAGATGGGGTTTCACCATGTTGGCCAGGCTAGTTTTGAGCTCCTGACCTCAAGTGATCTGCTCCCCTCAGCCTCCCAAAGAGTTGGGATTTTAGGTGTGAGCCACCATGCCCGGCCCTACCTGTGAAGTATTTAAGGGCTTCTTAGTTAATGTGGATCTGAAAAAGGTAGGATGTATAGAGTGAGTATAATTGCATTTTTATTACTGTTAATGTGTTAATCTTTCTGGGAAGAGTATTCTCAAAGAGAACATACACCTTTGTTATTAGACTTCTGTGCACTTAGCATACACATGTTTCAAATATTGCAGGTGATTCTATGTACTGTTTTGGGACAAAGGAAAGCAATGGGACCTTCTTAAGTGGTTTCTATGCTAAGGAGTCAAGACTGCCAATTTGAAGTGACAGAGATTAGTCTTTTAACTAGAGATAGATAATAGACAAGAAACAGTAGATCTTTCTACCTTTCTTTAGGTCATCAGGTTTCTCCCAGTTTAGGTAACAAAACTTATGTCATTTATTAGTTGAATTTTAAGTACAACTTCAGGATAGATAATTTGTCAGAGTAAATTATCATCAGGCTCTGGTATATGTTGGCTGTCCCTATTTGTTATGGAGCTCAAAGTCAGTGTTCATTGAATATTGTATATATTTAGACAGGTAGAGGTGCAAAAGCAGGTAACCAAAATCTATTTTTAGAGCAGAGGCCATATTTTAATTATATCAAGAAACATTATTTAATGTACAGATAGCTAACCTTTTCCCAGATTGTGTTTTTGTTTTTTGAAGGGAGAAGCTGAATATGACCTGGCAGTTAAAAACTTTGTAAAGAAATCAACTTGCCTCATTTTCATTGTATATTTTTGCTCTAAAGCATTTTCCACGAACTGTGTGTTGATTCATGCCCTAAGCCAGATGATGACAACTTGACTGTTACCACCGAAGTAAATTGGCCTCTTTAATTTTCTCACTCAAGTTTTGCATATTATTTACTTTTAAAATTTAGCAGTGGTTTATCTACCTTTTTTTATGTTGGTAATATAAGGTTGGTCAGAGAAAAGCATAGACATGGCTAGTTGATTTTAAAAAATTGTTTAACCTCATTAACAAAGGATTGATTAAGTACTGTGACAGGGTGGGGGCTGAAAGAAAATGAACTGGAAACATAGTGACAGGAAAATCACATTAGAATATGCTTTCCCCAATAAAGGAAATATAAAATTTGGTTAAGGTTTATTTGGATAAATATTAATATTGGCTTTTAAATCATACTAGTGTTACTTTCATAATATTTATGCCTTTATGAATCTTCAGTGAATCAAATTACTTGTAGTTATCATGGAATCTCCCTGGTACTTTTTATTGGCAAAACTGTGCAGCACATAGCATATACCTTTTCTTGGACACTTATTATTTTGTTATGTAGTTTTTAGGAGACATTATTTTTTCTACTTCTATTATTACTTCTGTAGTGAGACTAAAATAATATTAAAATTTGTAGAAAACTAGCTGAGTATGGTGGTGTACGCCTTTAGTCCCAGCTACTTGGGGGTTTGAGGCAGGAGGATTTTTTGAGCCTAGGAGTTTGAGAACAGCCTGGGCAACATAACCAGATTGTATCTGCTTTAAAAATATAAATTGTAGAAATGTAGAAATTTAAATTTATGTTATCAAAATTTGTATTACAAATGGATTCTTCTGTGTTTTATAAGTTGTCCATAAAGAGTATAGGTAAAACACTTCATCTAATGAATAACATGTATTTTACTGCAAATAACCAGTTATATACGCAGACTCTTAATACCAATATGGTAAGACTTTAACACCATGATTTTGTCATTGTAGTTTATTTAAACTATCCACTCAAAGTCTTTATATTACACTTGGAAATTTAAAATTTCAGAATTTTTATGTTTAGTTGTTTAAATAATCACTTGAAGTTCCTGCATACTATGAGCTACTGGAGGTCATAGACATATTTGTGTGTATCCTGGAGTACCTGGAATACAGTCTTCCATGTAAGAGGCATTGTAATTGTTGATTTTTCGAGATGGAGTTTCACTCTGTTACTGAGGCTAGAGTGCAGTTGTGGGATCTTGGCTCACTGCAGTCTCTACTTCCTGGGCTGAGGTGATCCTCCCACCTCAGCCATCCAAGTAGCTGGGACTGCAGGCCTTTGTCACCATACTTGGCTGAGTTTTGTACTTTTTGTAGAGATGGGGTTTTGCCTTGTTGCCCAGGTCGGCCTTTAACTGTTGAATTCACATGATATGCCCACCTCAGCCTCTCAAAGTGCTGGGGTTACAGGCATGAGTTGCCACATTCAGCCTTAATAGTTGTTTAATCTGAATAAATAGATGAATGAATTTATATTTAATGGAATGTTATAAGTAATATACATAATGTATCTATTGATTAAATAGTGCAGTTAAAAAATATTGCTTACATTTGTATTGTTTTTTAATGTTTAAGGATGTATAAGTTTTGATGTGTTATTTTGAGAAATTATGCCATAAATAAAAAGAAAATAAATTAGAGGCCGGGCGCGGTGGCTCACGCCTGTAATCCCAGCACTTTGGGAGGCCGAGGCGGGTGGATCACGAGGTCAAGAGATCGAGACCATCCTGGTCAACATGATGAAACCCCGTCTCTACTAAAAATACAAAAATCAGCTGGGCATGGTGGCACGTGCCTGTAATCCCAGCTACTCAGGAGGCTGAGGCAGGAGAATTGCCTGAACCCAGGAGGCGGAGGCTGCGGTGAGCCGAGATCACGCCATTGCACTCCAGCCTGGGTAACGAGAGCGAAACTCCGTCTCAAAAAAAAAATTAGAAATAGGTCATTAATAGCAAAGAGGGTTACAATATATTTTCTAGTATAATTCAACTGGAATCTTAGATTATGATTTTAGACTAAAATTTCTTAAACATTTTATTAGCCCCAACTCATGCTCTAATAAATACGCCTGTATAAGCCATGCATTACTCTTTTTATTTTTTGCCCCTTAATGCCACTAATAAGCCAATATGCATCACGCTTTAGAATTCTGGTGACCAATTCTTCCTTTAGGTGGAAAGTTGATGGAAAATTCTAGTTTTCCCTCTCTGTAATAATAACAGTCTTTCAGGTAGTGGCAGATGACCATGGTTAGCTAATTGAATGTTTTATAGTAATAAAATTAAACTCTGTATCACAGAAATATTTTTTAAAAACTAATTGTAGCACAAGTATTAATCTGTATTGTTAGGGCTATAAAGGAACAAAGGTCTCGGTTACATACCTATTTCTCCATGTACTTTATGGTACATCATGTTGTTTCTTTTCTTTCTTGGCTGAAGCTCATATTAAATTGACTAATTAGGCTTCTTTGTTGTTTCTCCCTTCATCGTCACATTTTAAAAATAATTTATCCCCACCTAATTTTTTTCTCACAGATCTCATTTCTTAGTGACTGGTCTTTCAGTCCATCTGTGTCTTCATAGTCAGCATAGTTACAGCTTTCTCTTTAGTTATCTATGTGTGGCTTTCATTCTACAATTATTGCCCACAAGATTACTCTTTTTTTTTTCCTTTTCTTTGGAAGAGTTGAAATTATACATTAATCTTTAGGTTTTTGAAAAACAGAATAAAAGCAACTAATACTATTTGCAATGCCAACCCACTTAAATAAGGTACCACTATAAACTAAATTCTCATTTTCCCCCACAAGAAGTAATTTATGCAAATAATTACCTCCTGCATATGCCCATAATAAATTATTTTCTCATGTTTTTGAGCTCATAATTAATAAAGTATTTATGTACTAAGCAAATTACTGCTTCATAGTATAATTCTGCTAATTTGCGTGATTCATTTAAGAAGCAAGTGTAGTATAGTGCCAGAGTAATAAAGTTTAGAATGTGCAAAAAATCACTTTGTGTTCTGAAAATAAGTTTATCTAAAATATAAAGAATTATTTCAGTTAAGCTGTGGCCAAATGCATCATTCTGTGGTATATCTGGATGTGCAAAATTATAAAGAGAGCTAGAGAGAAACAGTTTGAATTGTAGTTTTTATTGAAATTGGAACCTGAAAAGATAAGGCTGGGATTTTAGTATGTTTATATATTTTGATTGTCCAGTATAGATCTACAACGAACATTTTAGGTTAAGAAGAAAACATGGAGAGTAGTAACTATGTGGGACTGTAATAACAACAATTTAGTCTTGTAGTAAGTAGAAGTCATTTTCAAAAAGAGAACACACTGAGTACTTTTGTGGCAGCCACACTTACAGCAGCAGAAGTATAAAATAATAATGGTGTATTCTAATGTTAAGACTGTGGAGAGAAATTGGAGGGACCTGACTATTCACTAGAAGCAGCTGATGCATAGTTTTACCACCACCAAGTAGAAGTCAAAAGACATGTTAGCATCCTGGTTCTGCCACTTACTAAATATGGGACCTTGGGAAAAATTCTTTATTTGATTGTCATTGACCTTGTTCATAAAAGTGGTCAATGACAATTGACAATGGTACCTCTCAGGTATGTGTAATGAACAAAAGTAGTGGGAAATGTTGTAAATTGGAAAATACATTTACAAATGTGAGATAAAATGATCACAGCAGTATTCAGTATTCAGTGACTTAGTAAATCTTGAGGAAAATTTTTGTAAACCCGAAGCATGATAAAATGGCAGTAGCATCAAGAAAGGAATAGGAAAGTCAGAAATGGCATGTGGATTTTAAATTTGGGATAGGGGTGTGTTCAGTTTCAGCAGGCTACTAGGACTGAAGATGTCCTTTAGGGACATAGTGGTTTGGCACATGAGACTGATGAAATTTTGTTTTGACCTAGAATTTATTTGGGTTATAGATCACAAACTGTGGTAGTCAGTGTGACACTGAAAATACAAGATGAGATCTTATGCTACAGTAGTAGGAACAGAAAAAGAAAGAAAGAGCAAATATATAAATGCTTTAGATAAAGAAAAGAGAAAATGTTAGAAGATATCAAGGAAGTTTGTAGTTAGGATGGGAATGGGAGAGGAATGGAAATCTGTGGTCAGAGAAGACCTCTCTGAGTACGATATTTAAGCTGCCAACTGAAAGATGAGAAAGAGCCAGCCATGTGAGTCTAAGAGGAGGAAATTCTGAATGGAGAGAACAAAGTATCACATCTATTCATCATTTTGCTCTTAACACCCTGGAATGGGCAGAAAGCCATTATCATAATTATTTTTTATGATTACAGTATGTACAACAAATGTGAAATAGAATCCTGGCACATTTTAGATGCCTCCTAAATAATTGTTCTTTTTTATTTCCTTTTAAAGAAAGCTCGATACACTTTTGAAGTTCATTCTTTCTTTCTCTTTCTTTTCTTTCTTTCTCTTCTGTTCCTTTCCTTTTCTTCTTTTCTTTCTTGGCAGGATCTCACTTTGTTGCCTGTGCTAAAGTGCAGTAGTGCAATTTCAGCTCACTGCAGCCTTGACCTTCCAGGGTAATGTGATCCTTCCATCTCAGTTTTCTCAGTATCTGGGATTACAGGCATGCACCACCATGCCCAGCTAATTTATGCATCTTTTGCACTTGACCATTTTTCCCAGGCTGGTTTCAAACTCCTGGGCTCAAGCAATCCACCCACTTTGGCCTCCCAAAGTCTTAAGATTAAAGGTGTGATCCACTGTCCCTGGCCTGATGGATACAGCCAATCACAAAGGCATGTGCATACCTATGTAAGAAACCTACATGTTCTGCACATGTACCCCAGAACTTAAAGTATAATAAATAAATAAATAAAATAGTTGCACAGTTGATCACATATTTGCTTGCTTTTATGTAAATATAACATAAAAATTTTATTACTACATTATCATTCTATTCAAATTTTTTTCTATCAGTAAAGATTTTATCAAAAAATAGGTAGGTGTTTTCAAGTGTTTGTTTACCTAAATGAAGCATCTTCTATGGTGTTCTATTGATGCTCAATATGACATATTTCCAAGTTTTCTATCATAAATATCTTAACACTGAAATATTTATATGAGGATATTTAAAATTTTTTAATATTGTTAGTATTACACCAAGTAACATATATATATATATAAAATATATATATGTATGTATGTGTATACATATAATATATATATATATATATATATATATATATATATAAGTTTTTTAAATGGAGTCTTGCTGTTTCACCCAAGCTGGAGTGCAGTGGTGTAATCTCTGCTCACTGCAACCTCCACCTCCTGGGTTTAAGCAATTCTCTTGTCTCATCCTCCCAAGTAGCTGGGACTACAGGCGTGCACTACCAATCCAGGCTAATTTTGTATTTTTGGTAGAGACAGTGTATCACTGTGTTGGTCAGGCTGCTCTCAAACTCCTGACCTCAGGTGATCCACTGCCTCAGCCTGCCAAAGTGCTATAATTACAAACATGAGCAAACTCACATGGCATATATATAATTTTATTTTATTTTTGAGACAGAGTCTTGCTCTGTCTCCAGGTGCCAGGCTTGAGTGCAGTGGCACAATCTAGGCTCACTGCAACCTCCATCTCCTGGGTTTAAGCAATTCTCCTGCCTCAACTTCCCAAGTAGCTGGGTCTACAGGCGTATGCCACCACGACCTGCTAATTTTTGTATTTTTAAGTAAAGACGGGGTTTCACCATGTTGGCCAAGATCGGATAGTATCATATAGACCAAACATAATTGAATAATGTCATGTGATTTATGGAGAGGAAGTTAGAGAAGGTATAGCCTGATTAAAAGTTTATTAGAAACATTATGGCTTATAATGCAGAATTAAATTCAGGGACTTAATAGGGAAGAAAGTGAGGCTAAGTTCCAGATGGGCAATTAAGGTAAAGAAATGTGGAAGCACGTTAGTATAGAACAGGGCATCCAAATTTTCATGAATTAGTTGAGAAGCTTCTGGAAAATGGACATTCTCATTCAGCATGTGTGGGATTCTGCCTTTCTCAGGAGTACTCAGGTGGTGTTGGTGCTGCTTTTTGGGCACAGCTCTGAGTAACAAGGAAATAGCCTTCCTTTAGAGAAATTTGGAAAAAGAACCGTTGGACAGCAATTTTAAATAACAGAATCAAGGGAAGGCATTAATCTCCTTTTATATATTAAGTAGGATTCTAGCCACAGAGGAAGCAGAATGAGATGAAAAAAAATTATTGGTCTATATTACTGCTGAATACAGATAAAAAAAAGCGGTTGCAATTATCCATAAAAAGCAGTTAGGAAAAGAAGCATCAGGATGACAGATCTAAAGATTACTTTTGCAAAGGAAAAGGGATTGTGAAAGAGCAAGGAGGGGAGAAGAAAAGAAAGTTTCTTGGGGGACTTTCAAGTTAAAACCAAGGAAGCTTGAGACACCTCACTTCCAGTTCCTTGGGTATATGCCCAGTGTAGCAAAAGTTATTGCTGTGGAGAGTACTGGAGGCAGGAGGGAGTGCTAGAATAAAACCACAGCAGCTAATTTCTCTTCATAACTGTCAGGCCTCAAAGCAAGAAGTTTCATTGACATGAGTGAATAAGATGTGATTAAGCTGCATTTTGGCTAATTTTTTTGGGGGGGTCAGCCAGTTCTTTGATAAGATAGCTGTTTTATAAAAGTCATTCACAGAGTAAGATGGCATGCCAAACTTAGTTAATTTTAGAAGCAATCTTATTATAAAATTTATTCTGTGACTATCAAAATTGTCATTTTCTAAGAATACCGCACTGATCTTGAAATATAAAAGTTTATTCTTTTCTATCAAGACTGTGGCAATTCAATGTTTTCTCTTTTGATAAGAATTTTGACATTGAAAGCTTATTCTATATGGTTTATTTGATTGTTTTAAGTCTTGCATGAGTGGATCAAGGAACTCTTAAGAAAAGGTCAAACGAGAGGATATGAGAAATGTAGGTGCTTCAGTAGTCACGTGGGCATGGGAAAATGAGAATTTTGAGAAACTGTTATTTCACAAGTGTGTATCATAGCTGATGAATTTAGAACATTTTCTTTGATGAGAGGTGAATCGCATATCACCTGAACTGGCATCCCAACTGTGTATTTCCTAAGTTAAAGGACAAGGGGAAGTACATGATAAATATTTGTGGTGTTCTGGCTTCAATGCCTCTGATGTTTTGAGTTTAAATACTCTGTAGCAATCACTATCAGCCTCGACATTGATTCTCTCAGGTTTTGATTTGTGACACTGTTTAATGGTCCCTTTTATCCTTATCAGCCCAACGTGTTCACATTAATATCCATATTTTCTATTTCAGTTGTAGGCATTTGAAACAATCTCACTTTTAAAATATAAACTTTGTGACTTAGGGATCCTATATTCTTATTTTACTCAGGACACTTCCATCACATTGCTGTCCTAGGCAATGAAAAGGAGATGCCAAAAAGAACCCTCAAAACCTTATTTTCAGAGCCAGGCATGAGGACTCAGCTTGATACTAACACTGCATAAATGTTTGTTTGGCCCTGTCATACCTATATATAATTGATGACATGTCCCCTTTGCTTTGTAGGGCCTCCTGAATAACATCCTTCCTTGAAGGTTATTATATATATATTTATTTTTAATTACTAACTTTATATTGTATAAAATATATATTATTTATTAGTTATTTTCTCTTAAAACCCATTCAGCCTACCACTGAAATGGAATATCCTGTTGTGAGAGAAGCAGTACAAACAAAGAATGTACAGACATTGAGAGCAGGTACATTTTCTTTTTTTTTTTGAGACGGAGTTTCGCTCGTTACCCAGGCTGGAGTGCAATGGTGTGATCTTGGCTCACCGCAACCTCCGCCTCCTGGGTTCAAGCAATTCTCCTGCCTCAGCCTCCCGAGTAGCTGGGACTACAGGCGTGCGCCACCATGCCCAGCTAATTTTTTGTAGTTTTAGTAGAGACGGGGTTTCACCATGTTGACCAGGATGGTCTCGATCTCTTGACCTCGTGATCCACCTGCCTCGGCCTCCCAAAGTGCTGGGATTACAGGCTTGAGCCACCGCGCCCAGCCTCTGCCACTTTCTTTTGTGTACTTTGTATTCTATTTTCCAGATGTATCTACATTGATACATTGGCTCTGGTTTAATTCATTTTACCCTTTTTACTGTATTCCCTTATACCACTCTACCACATTTAATTAGACTCTCCTGTTGCTGATAAATGAAGAAAAAAAAAAGAAAAAGAAAAATAGGCTGGGCGTGATGGCTTACACCTGTAATCCTAGCACTTTAGGAGGCTGAGGAGAGTGGTTTACGAGGTCAGGAGATTGAGACCATCCTGGCCAACATGGTGAAACCCCATCTCTATGAAAATATAAAAAATTAGCTGGGCGTGGTGGCGCATGCCTGTAGTCCCACCTATTTGGGAGGCTGAGACTGCAGTTAGCCAAAATTGCACCACTGCACTCCAGTCTGGCAGCAGAGCAAGACTCTCTCTCAAACAAAAAAAGAAAAGGAAAATAATGTAAGATTAAAAGGGCCTTTTGTTTAATCAATTTGTATGTGTGAATATTTACTATATGAGAGTTTAAGGCTGAGAAGTTCAGAATGCAAGCATGCACCACCATATTTTACAAATGCCCTTAGAATTATGACTCATGAGCCTTTAGTCTATGAAGTTATGACAATTCATTTCTCTAAAGTTTACTGTCCTCTCAAAAAAAAAAAAGGACTGAAAATAGCAAATGACATTGTCTTATTTGACCTCTTAGACATCCTCAAATGAAACTGTAACTTACTTATGTCAAAATTCAGAACCAACGTTTTGAACAATATGTATATTTTGTGAGTAAGCCCTTGATTACAAAATGGCCTTTCAAGTTTTACTTTTGCATTTTTTGCTCTTTTTCTTGACTTGTCTTACAAAAGCTTAATTAAATTCGTTTTATTTCTATGGAAAGCAGTAATATAATTTTTAAATATATTTCTGTTCTGTCTTGTGGCATTGTGAACTCTTCACATCTAGTGTGGACCTAGACTTATTTTTACATGGGAACAATTAGGTTTGTTTCTTTCTTGTTGTTATTGTTGAGACAATCTTGTTCTGTGATGTGGTTCAGAGTGGATAAGCTCTTAAAGCAGTCATCTTTCCAGTGGTTCTTTCTGTGGGAGGTAAAATGGCAGGTGAATTTGGGCCTTGTTATATGTAGAGCAGAGCACATGGCTACAACTAAGTAAAACACCCAGCACCTTCCCCAAGAGTATTGGCCAGAGCAACACAGTATCTCTTGGGCTCTTCTCCACTGGCAGCTGGAAAGTTTTTACAAGAATCCCTTTCTGGTCTGATTCCTATGTTTTGCTGACTTCTGGTGATAGGGTGTTTTATCCTAAACTGAATAGTTTTAACTGAAGAGCTAGAGAGAATGTGTTGTGTTACAATGAAGTAAGTGCAGTAGTTCCCCCTTAACTGTGGGAGATGCATTCGAAGGCCCCCAGTGAATACCTGAAAGCACAAATAGTACTGAATCACTTTTTTTTTTTTTTTTGGAGACGGAGTTTCGCTCTCGTTACCCAGGCTGGAGTGCAATGGCACGATCTCGGCTCACCGCAGCCTCCGCCTCCTGGGTTCAGGCAATTCTCCTGCCTCAGCCTCCTGAGTAGCTGGGATTACAGGCACGTGCCACCATGCCCAGCTGATTTTTTGTATTTTTAGTAGAGACGGGGTTTCACCATGTTGACTAGGATGGTCTCGATCTCTTGACCTTGTGATCCACCCGCCTCGGCCTCCCAAAGTGCTGGGATTACAGGCGTGAGCCACCGCGCCCGGCCCTGAATCACTTTTTTTCCCTATACATACGTATCTATGTTAAAGTTTAATTTACAAATTAGGCACAGTAAGAAATTAACAACTAAAAACACAATGGAAAATTATAGTAATATGCTGTAATAAAAGTTATTTGAATGTAGTCTCTTAAAATATATGGTATGGTTCTCACCCTTTTTCCTGTTTTGAACTGATACAATGCCTGTGTAATGAGATGAAGTGAGGTGAATGTGGGCATTGTCATGTAGTGTTAGGCCACTATTCACCCCCTGACTCTAAGTCAGAAAAAAGATTATCAGCTTTGAGTGTTTCTGGACCTTCAGGCCTTAATGATGGTGATGGCTGGATGCAGGAAGAGACCATGTTGATGACTAATGGCTGGACAGCACATGCAGTGTGAACGCACTGGACAAAGGAATGATTCACATCCTGGGATGTATAGAGGGCAAGAGATCAAGATTGTATTGTGCTCCTCAGATCGGTACACTAACACTTATGACTTATTTCTGGAGTTTTGAATGTAATATATTTGGAATAGAGTTAACTGTTGTTAGTAGCTGTAACCACATAATTCAAAACTACGGATGTAAAATCTGTTTGAACTTTGACTCATTTCTTGGTGTACAATTCTTAAACTCCTTAGAATTTCCAAAGTGATGTCTTTTGGTATGCTAATAATCGACGGCTGGAAGCTCCTAGGTAGATTCAGGATGGGAACTGGTCACCATCCTGAAGACATGGCTGATTAGAGGGTTGAGATCTTCTGTCTCTGCAAACTCTGGGGAGGAGAGAAGGGCTGAAGGTTGTCAGTCACCAACAGTCAGTGATTAATTAGTGATGCCTATGTATTGAAGCTTGCATAAAGTCCCAAAGGGACTGGGCTGGAGAGCTTCCAGATCCATGTATACATGGAGGTTCCTAGAGGGTGGTGTGTTCTGAGAGGGCATGAAATCTCTGTGCCACTAGGCTCATACTTTGCACTATGCATCTCTTCATCCGTATCTTTTGTAATGTCATTCATAGTATACTGGTTAAGTGTGTTTTCCTGAGTATTTGGAGCTATTCCAGCAATTCAATTTAACCCAAAGAGGGAGTCCTGGGAACCCCAATTTGAAGCCGATTGGTGAGAAGTTCTGGAGTTTCAGACTTAGGACTGATGTAGGGAGGCAGACTTGTGGGACTGAACCCTTTATCTGTGGAATCTGATGCTATCTGCAGATAGAGTATGAGAACTGAATTAGACACACAGCTTGTGTAATCTGCAAGTGATTGCTTGCTTGTTGGTGGGGAAAAACCTCTCCACACGTTTTGTCACAGACAGAAGCATTCTTTGTTGATGATTGTTGCTGTGGTGTGAGAGCAGAGAAAAGCATGGCAAGTGTGTCTTTTCCACACATATAGTGGATAAGGGGTACTACTGTTTGCTCCACTCATATTTTGGTCCAGAAATCATGCTGTTTGACACTGGTCACTCATTCCATCTGTTCTGCTAACAATACCATTTTTAGCCAATTTCATAGGGTTTCGCTAGGATGAGTTGTATACCGCAGTTCACTGATACATATTAAATTTTGATAAATTTATTCTTTGCATTTAATAAATACAAAGGGAAGAGTTCTTACTGCATTAATTACATACCAATAGGAATAATTTATATTAATTCTAATAAGGCCCCAGGTATGCTCCCAAAGGAATGCTTTGTAACAAAGCATCAGTCCTATAAAGAAAAATGATCTAAATCATGTATACAACTGTGCATACTTTTTTTTTTTTTAAATGAAGGCGGAGTCTTGCTATGTTTCCTAAACTGGTCTCAAACTTCTGGGTTTCTCAAGTGATCCTCCTTTCTCGGCCTCCCAAATAGTTGAAATTAAAGGCATGTATGACTATACTTTCTTTTGGTTTTAATAATCTATACATTATTTAAAATGCATTTTACCTTTTCCTTTAATAGATTCCAGGAGTTCTGAAGAATCTGCAGTCAGGTAGGATTTTACAGATTTAAAAAATTATATTAACTAAGAAAATATGGATGGAAGAAACTAATATCTATTGAGTGTTGTATTCTGGGCTAAATACCCTATTGTGTGCTATGCATTTATCTCATAAAGCCATCACAACTTGTGTTTTCTTATAACCTACTATTTATTAAATAGGCAGCTGTGGTTTAGAGAGGTTGATTAATTGGATCATGATCCCATAGTTGACAAAGTAGCTGACCCACAGTTTGACTGCCAGCCTATCTGGCTTTCAAATCTTTTCTCTTGCTCCTGAGTACAGATTGATAGAGATATCTGTGCAGCACTTTGATCAAGGTATAGGTCTGAATAAGAGTAGTCAGATTGTTTTAATTAATGTTTAAATTAATGAGTCTAAATAAGTTAAGCTCTCATTTTAGGTTACTGTTAGAAATGAGGTTAGTCCTTGAGTTTGTCTTAATAAATCTGACAATTTTTGTGGTAACCAGCATCTTTTTTTAAAAAATTAACCATTAAAGTCTTTAGGGCAGAGTAAAGGTTTGGCCATAGGACTGGAAGTTTTACAAAACCAAGATTTGACAAGTCTTGGAGAGAAATTATTTAACTTCCCAGTTTTGTTTTCCCTTTAGGCTAGTATTTCTGCCTATTTCCATAATGCTTTTTTAATTTTTGTTTTTCTTTTTCTATGACTTTTCTTCCTTGGTGTTTCATTATGTTTTCAAATTCTGCTGGCTATGTATTCCCAATTTTCCTATAGGCAGAACCAAAAGCACATAGAATTACAAAAATTTAAGGAATCTTAGGACTAATTAAAATATCTTCTAGTACTTCAATCTGTGTTAATGTTATGGTCAAATGATATTCCAGATAGAGAATTTGAGAATCAAAGAGATTAGGATGCTTTTTTTCAGACATAAGACATGGTAGAAATGAGATTTGAACTCGTTTTAAAGCCCAATACTCTTCCTTCTTTTTTTATTCTATTGGCATGTTTTTTTTTGTTTTTGTTTTTTTGAGTCAGAGTTTCACTCCTGTTGCCCGACTGGAGTGCAACAGCACAATCTCAGCTCACCGCAACCTTTGCCTCCCGGGTTCAAGCGATTTTTCTGCCTCAGCCTCCTGAGTATCTGGGATTAAAAGCATGCACCACCATGCCCAGAAAATTACATATTTTTAGTAGAGACAGGGTTTCTCCATGTTGGTCAGGCTGGTCTCGAATGCCTGACCTCAGGTGATCTGCCCGCCTTGGCCTCCCAAAGTGCTGGGATTACAGGTGTGAGCCACCACGCTTGGCCTTGCATGTGTTTTAATAATACAAAGGGGGAGTGAGTCTGGTACACCCAGTGGATAGAATGAGAATGGAATTAGCTGGTGAACCCAATGGATATGGCTAAGAATGGAATGAGCAGGGAAGGCAAAGTTTGAGGAGAAATGACACTGGATACGGATTATTCAATAAGAGATTAGAATATTGGGGTTTATGACAAGCCTGATAAAATAAAAAGATGAAGGACACAAGATATTGGGCGTTATCTAAAAAGACACATTAAAATAGAGGGTTCGAGGAAGCTCTAAACAGACGGCTGTGCTTTTTAAATCAAGAACTAACAAACTTGAAGATTTTTGCTGTAAGATGCTAAAACATTTGGAGACACTGGGAGGAGTCTCTACAGCAGACAGAAATGTGGTATCATCTAATTCCATCCTGACTTGCAGAGGGTGGCTTAGAGCCCCTTGGGTACTGATGGACTGCAGATAACTGAACTACATAGATCTGTGGCCCAGGGCAGGTATCTCCTCATCTCTGCCTCTTTTCCCAATTCACTGATGTCCTTCCCATATGCATGTAGGCTGGGTCAGGGGCATCATTGGCTGTCAAATCAGTCATGAAGTTCAGCTGGGTAGTTGGAGGTGTGTCTGTGCTGGTAGTTAGTAGATACTCCAGTTAGGTTGTTATTCAAGAGAAGGGATATGGAGCGCTCCCACTCCTGGTCATTTGAGGCCATCCTTTCAGGAATCTGCTTTAGTAGATAGAAGATTTGAAGATTGGAAACAGCCATGGAGGCCTGCATAAGTGGAATCTGGAAGTGGGAAACCATAGAAAGATATTTAGATAGTACTTAGGGAAATAGAGGTACAACTGCCAGGACTCTGTTTTTCCATCAGTCTCTCTCGTTGGATATCTGAGTGCCTATGAAGGTTTTTAAGGGCTTACTAGTTTATGTGGACCTGAATAAGGTAGGACCTATAGAGTGAAAATAATTAGGTTTTTATAATTGTTAATATTTTAATCATCTTTCTGGGAAGAGTATCCTAAATAAGAAAATACATCTTCATTATTAGACTTTTGTACATTTAGCTCTCACACATTTCAAATACAGCAGGGGATTCTCTGTACTCTTTTAGGACAAAGGAAAGTATTGGGACCTTCTTAAGTGGTTGCTATGCTGAGGAATCAAGACTCTCACTTTGAAGCAACACAGATTAGTCTTTTAATCAGAGATGGACAAGAGAAAATGGACCTTTCTACCTTGTTTTAGGTCGTAAGTTTCCTTCCATTTTAGGTGACAAAAGTTATGTCATCCATTAATTGAATTTCACGTTCTGCTTCAGGACAGATAACTTGTGAGGGTAAATTATTGTCAAGCTCTGCCAATGTATTAACTATTTGTTATGGAGCTCAAGGTCAGTTTTTGTTGAATATTTTATAGATTTAGACAGCCGGAGGCAAAAATAGGTAACCAAAATCTATTTTTAGAACAGAGGCTATATATTTTAATTGTATCAATAAATGTTACTTAATATACAGAAGGCTAACCTTTTCCCAGACTGTGTTTTTGTTTGTTGGAGGGGGAAACTGAATGTGAACTGGCAGTTAAAAAATTAAAAAATACATACATATATATATATAAAATCAACTTGCTCATTTTTATTGTATATTTTTGCTCTAAAGCATTTTGCAGGAACTGTGTGTGGATTCATGCCCTAAACCAGATGATGAAGACTTCAGTGTTACTACCAAGGTAAAGTGGTCTCTTGTAAAACTTTCTCACTCAGTCAACTTCTGCATAGTATTTACTTTAAAATTTAGCAGTGGTTTACCTATTATTGTTTTATGATGGTTATGGAAAGTTGGTCAGAGAAAACCATAGACATGGCTAGTTGATTAAAAATTTTTATTTAATGTTCGTAACTAACAAAAGATTGGTAAGTACTGTGACAGAGTGCTGAACCAAAATGAACTGGAAGATACATAGCAACAGAAAAATCACCTTAGGAAATGCTTTCCCCAATAGAGAAAATATGAAATTTGATTCAGGTTTAATTAGATAAATATTTTGACTTTTAAATCAAACTAGTGTGACATCTGTATTTTTGCCAGTATACATCTTCAGTGGGTCAAATTACTTGTGGTTATCATGGAACCTCCCTGGCACCTTTTAGTTGAAAAACTGTACAACAAATAGCATATAGCTGTTTTTCCTGGACACTTATTATTTGGGTATTATATACTTGGTAGGAGAGATTGTTCCTCTACTTATTTGTTCTGTAGTGAAACTAAAATATTAAAAACTGTAGAAAAAATAGCTGGGTGTGGTGATATACACCTATAGTCCCAGCTACTTGGGAGTTTGAGCACAACCTGGGTAGCCTAACAAGACTGCATCTGATTTATTTTTTTAAATTATACCAAGTTCTGGAGTACATATGCAGAACGTGTAGGTTTCTTACATAGCTATACAGGTGCTATGGTGTTTTGCTGCATCCTTCCCCGTCACCTACATTACATACTTCTTCTAATGTTATCCCTCCCCAATCCCCCCACCCCCTGCTATCCCTCCCTTACCTCCCTCTCCTCTCGACAGGCCCTGGTGTGTGATGTTCCCCTCCCTGTGTCCGTGTTCTTATCATTCAACAGCCACTTACAAGGGAGAACATGCAGTGTTGGGTTTTCTGTTCTTGTTTTCTGAGAATGATGGTTTCCAGTTTCATCCATGTCCCTGCAAAGGACATGAAGTTGTCCTTTTTTATGGCTGCATAGTATTCCATGATGTGTATGTGCCACACTTTCTTTATCCAGTCTATCATTGATCGGCATTTGGGTTAGTTCCAAGTCTTTGCTATTGTAAACAGTACTGTAATAAACATATGTGTGCATATGTCTTTATAACAGAATGATTTATAAACCTTTGGGTATATACCCAGCAATGGGATAGCTGGGTCAAATGGTATTTCTAGTTCTATATCCTTGAGGAATGGCCAACACTGTCTGCAACAGTGGCTGAACTAATTTACACTCCTGCAGTGTAAACGTGTTCCTATTTCTCCACATCCTCTCCAGCGTCTGTTGTCTCCTGATTTTTTTAATGATCGTCATTCTAACTGGCAACTCAATGTGATTTTGATGTGCGTTTCTCTAATGATCAGTGATGATGAGCTTTTTTTCCTGTTTGTTGGCTGCATAAATGTCTTCTTTTGAGAAGCATCTGTTCATAGCCTTTGCCCACTTTTTGATGGGTTTGATTTTCTTGTAAATTTGTTTAATTTCTTTCTAGATTCTGGATATTGGCCCTTTGTCAGATGGGTAGATTGCAAAAATTTTTTCCCATTCTGTTGGTTGCTGGTTCACTCTAATGATTGTTTCTTTTGCTGTGCAGAAGCTCTTAAGTTTAATTAGATCCCACTTGTCTATTTTGGCTTTTGTTGCCAATGCTTTTGGTGTTTTAGTCATGAAGTCCTTGCCTACACCTATGTCCTGAATGGTATTGCCTAGGTTTTCTTCTAGGGTTTGTATGTTTAAATTTTATGTTTAAATCTTTAATCCATCTGGAGTTAATCTGTGTATAAGGTGTAAGGAAGGGATGCAGTTTCATCTTTCTGTAGATGGCTAGACAGTTTTCCTAACACCATTTATTAAATAGGGAATCCTTTCCCCATTGCTTGTTTTTGTCAGGTTTGTCAAAGATCAGATGGTTGCAGAGGTGTGGCATTACTTCTGAGGCCTCTCTTCTATTCCATTGATCTGTATCTCTGTTTTGCTATCAGTACCATGGTTTTGATTACTGTAGTCTTGTAGTATAGTTTGAAGACAGGTAGCATGATGTAGTCATCTCTGATGGCAGTTTGTATTTCTGTAGGATCTGTGGTGATTTTCCCTTTATCACTTTTTATTGCATCTATTCTTCTCTTTTCCTTTTAATTAGTCTGGCTAGTGGTCTATTTTGTTGATCTTTTCAAAAACCAGCTCCTGGATTCATCGATTTTTTTGAAGAGTTTTTTGTGTCTCTATCTCCTTCAGTTTTGCTCTGAACTTAAGTTATTATTTCTTGTCTTAGCTTTTGAATTTTTTTGATCTTGCTCCTCTAGTTCTCTTAATTGTGACAACAGGGTGTTGATTTTAGATCTTTCCTCGCTTCTCATGTGGGCATTTAGTGCTATAAATTTCCCTGAAGACACTACTTTAAATGTGTCCCAGAGATTCTGGAACAATGTGCCTTCGTTCTAATTTCAAAGAACACCTTTATTTCTGCTTTCATTTCATTATTTATCCAGTAGTCATTCAGAAGCAGGTTGTTCAGTCTCCATGTAGTTGTGTGGTTTTGACTGTTTTTCTTAATCCTGAGTTACAATTTGATTGCGCTGTAGTCTGAGACTAGTTGTTATGATTTCTGTTCTTTTGCATTTGCTGAGGATTTACTTCCAATTATGTGGTCCACTTCTGAGTAAGTGAGATGTGTTGCTGAAAAAAATGTATAGTCTGTGGCTGTGGGGTGGAGAGTTCTGTAGATGTCTATTAGGTCCAATTAGTCCAGATCTGAGTTCAAGTCTTCGATATCCTAAATTTTCTGTCTCGTTGATCTAACATTGACAGTGGGGTGTTAATGTCTCCCACTATTGTTGTGTGGGAGTCTAAGTCACTTTGTAGTTCATTGAGAACTTGCTTTATGTATCTGGGTGCTCCTGTATTGGGTGCATAATATTTAGGATACTTAGCTCTTCCTGTTGCATTGATCCCTTTACCATTATGTAATGTCCTTCTTGGTCTCTTTTGATCTTTGTTGACTTAAAGTCTGTTCTATCAGAGACTAGGATTGCACCTCTTGCTTTTTTTTTTTTTGCTCTCCATTTCCTTGGTAAATCTTCCTCCATTCCTTTATTTTGAGCCTATGTGTGTCTCTGCATGTGAGATGGGTCTCCTGAATACAGCGTACCAATTGGTCTTGACTCTTTATCCAATTTGCCAGTCTATGTCTTTTGAGTGGGGCATTTAGCCCATTTACATTTAAGGTTAAATTAATATTGTTATGTGCAAATTTCATTCTGCCATTTTGATGCTAGCTCATCATTTTGCCCGTTAGTTGATGCCGTTTCTTAATAGTGTCTATGGCCTTTACAATTTGGTATGTTTTTGCAGTCGCAAGTACTAGTTATTCCTTTACACGTTTGGTGGTTCCTTCAGGAGCTCTTGTAAGGAGGGCCTGGTGGTGATGAAATCTCTCAGCAGTTGCTGATCTGTAAAGGATTTTATTATTTCTTCTTCACTTATGAAGCTTAGTTTGGCTGGATATGAAATTCTGGATTGACAATTCTTTTCTTTAAAGATGTTGCATATTGGCCCCTACTCTCTTCTGGCTTGTAGGATTTTGGCCGAGACCTGCTGTGAGTCTGATGATGTGCTTCTCTTTGTGGGCAACCTGACGTACCTCTCTGGCTGCCTTTAGCATTTTTTCCTTCAATTCAACCCTGGTGAATCTGGCAATTATGTGCCTTGGGGTTGCTCTTCTGGAGGTATCTCTTTGCCATGTTCTATTATTTCTTGAATTTGAATGTTGGCCTGCCTTGCTAGGTTAAGGAAATTCTGGAAAATATCCTGAAGAGTGTTTTCCAACTAGGTTTTATTCTCTCTCTCACATTTAGGTACACTGATTAATCACAGATTTGGTCTTTTCACATAATCCCACATTTCTTTTCAGTCTTTTTTTCTCTAATCTTGCCTTCTTGCTTTATTATTTCATTGAGTTGATTTCAATCTCTGATATCCTTTCTTCAACCTGATCGATTTGGTATTGAAACTTGTGTATGCTTCATGAAGTTCTTGTGCTGTTTGGCCTGCACCAGCATCCTGTACCAGCAGCGATGGGTAAAACCCAGCCCAATGACGGTATCTCTGCTGTGTGAAGCTCACTTCATAGGAAGGAAAGGGCATAGCCTCCTGGTTCCCAAGCACTGCAAGAGGTGATATTCAAAATAGATAATCTGACAAGGTCATCAGCCAACAGGCAGAGGCCCAGGGACCCCTGCAGTGCCACAAATTAATTAAGTCTTTAATTTCCAGATCACAGAGAGCTCCTGAGAGTCCACTATAAAAGGTACCTGGGGCACTGGCTGTTTCCACGGCAATAAGGAAGTATTTCAATATATGAACAACTAGGGAACTGAGTTCTGCCAACAACCAGGTGAGCTTTGAGGTGGCCCTTTCCCAGGTGAGTCTTCAGATGACACCCCAGCCCTGGCAGATGACTTGGCTGCAGACTTAAGGACCCTGATAAAATAATAATGGGACAGGACAGCTGTGTATCTGCCCCAATCCCAGGAAGAATCCACCCAGCATCAACAATAATCACCAGAACATCAACAATGACAGCCAACATCTGTCAAGAGCACTTGGACACTGTGCTGTGTTGAAACAGATCCTGTTTTTTCTAGTTCACAATACCTCAGTGATAATGACTACTACAGCCCTCACTCTGCACTGGCTGCCTGATTCTTTGGTGCCAGGAGAGAAAGCAGTACAATTTAAGGCACCAAAGGGCTGACCCCAGAAGAGGTGGGAGAGGACCCAGGATGGAAGATACAAAAGGGATGAATATGCAGCCAGCATGACGGTCAGGGAGACTATGGGAACATGCTCAGGTAACACGAATAAAAGCAGAACTCAAAAATGCAGGGTCTCACAGAAACAGCCACAGGGAGACATGGACACGCCTGGAAGGGAAGCAGGGGCTGCTGATTATTCCTGGACGCAGGGAGGCAATCTGCGCCAGGGATTCTCAATCTTGGTTGCAAGTGAATCAGGGGGCAAGTAAATGAGCAGGTGGCAGTCGGGCATGGTGGCTCATGCCTGTAATCCCAGCACTTTTGAGGCCAAGGTGGGCAGATCACTTGAGGCCAGGAGTTCTAGACCAGCCTAGGCAACATGGCAGGCTAAGGCATTTGTGCCAGGATGGAAACCAGTGCCTTCTGCTTCCTGCATTAAGAAAGCCTTGTAAGAAAAAAGTGAGCTGAGTTGAATGGCAAGCTTGGTGCCATAGTTGATCTCCACTGTGGTGCTGCCTCCTCATATCACCAACTGGTCACAAAGTGTAGACTGTCAGTGTCCCATGGACCACATGTCAAGTGTGGTTAAACCACAGATATGGCATTGGTATAAACACTCTAAAATTTAGTTATTTTGGGCTGGGTATGGTGACTCACACCGGTAATCCCAGCACTTTGGAAGTCCAAGATAAGTGAATCACTTGAGGCCAGGAGCTCCAGACCAGTCTGGCCAACCTAGCAAAACCCTGTCTTGTCTTAAAAAAATTAGCTGGGCATGGTGATGCATGTCTATAATCTCAGCTACTACTCAGGAGGGCGAGTCATGAGAATCCTTTGAAACTGGGAGGCAGAGGTTGCAGTGAGCCAAAATTGAACCACTGCACTCTAGCCTGGGCAACAGAGCCAGATCCTGCCTCAATTAAAAAAAAGAATTTTTTGAAGTATACTTACTTTATTTTCTTTCCCCACTAGAATGTGAGCTCCAGGTGGACTGCTGTATCCTCAGTACATAAGACAATGCACAGCAGGTGCTGAACAAATACTTGTCACCTACTGTAGGAAAAAAAAAATCAAATCATAAAGATATAAGAGTATAGTCTTCTCTTCCATCAATTCCTCTCCTCCAAAGTGAAAGTTTTGTGCATGCTTTTAGAAGAAAATGTACAAGCATATAGTTTTTAAAAAATATTTTGACAGATTTAAATGGGATCATACTATACAGAGTTCTCTTTGTGTAGTTAATAGTACATCATCTGGGTTCATTCTAATTTTTTGTTTTGTTTTGTTTTGGTTTTGAAATAGGGTCATGCTCTGTCCCCCAGGCTGGAGTACAGTAGTGTGATCACAGATCACTACAGACTTAAACTACTAGGCTCACGCAATCCTCCTGCTTTAGCTTCCCAAGTAGCTGGGACTGCAGGTGCACCGCTACCATACCTGGCTTGCTTCATTTGTGTTCATGATGTATGCTTGTCTGGCATGTGGCTATGCCCTGCTGGCATTACCATTCTCCCATTCATTGCAAAAACAGATTGTTCCCTGTTTTTTACTATCATGATCCATGCTACACTGAGTGTTCTGCTGCCTGTCCTGGGGTATGGTGACAGCTCTATCCCTGCCTAGCTGGCTTTGAAAAGTTTAAAGACAACAGTGCAGGCTGGGCACAGTGGCTCACACCTGTTATCTCAGAACTTTGGGAGGCAAAGGCGGGGGTGGATCACCTGAGGTCAGGAGTTCAAGACGAGCCTGACCAAAATGATGAAAACTTGTCTCTTCTAAAAACACAAAATTAGCTAGGTGTGGTGGCTCATGTCTGTAATTGCAGCTACAGAATTGTAACTAGTTCTCCTAGATAGCTTAATATATTTTGTTGGTTGACTGATGGATTGATTGATGGACTCTCCCTCTCTCCCAGGCTGGAGTGCCACGGTGTGATCTTGGCTCACTGCATCTTCCGCCTCCTGGGTTAAAGCAATTCTTCCACCTTAGCCTTTTAATCACAGTAGCTGGGATTACAGCAACACCACACCCGGCTAATTTAAAAAACATTTTTAGAGATGCTGTTTCACCATATTGGCCAGGCTGGTCTCAAACTCCTGACCTCAGGTGATCCACTTGCCTCAGCCTCCCAAAGTGCTGGGATTATAGGCGTGAGCCACTGTATTGGCCGATAGCTTGTTACTATAAAACATAGCTTTCTGGGCCCCACTCAGATTTTCAGTTTAGTAGGTCTGGGTGGGGCCTGAGTATCTGCATTCCTAACACATCCCCAGGTACTGCTGCAGCTGGTTCAGGTCGACATGTAGAGACACACTGGAGTTGATCCTCAACACTCAAAGTGTGGTCCATGGACCAGCAGCCATGGTACCACCTGGTGCTTATTAACAGTGCAGAATTTTAGGCCTCTGCCCAGATCCACTGAAACAGAATCTGAATTGTAACTAGTTTTCTAAGTGGTGTGTATGAACATTAAAGTTCAAGAGACACTGGAAGAAAGCAGGAGTGAAGAAACTTTTTCTGGAAAACTTTCAGCATTCCGGGCCATATGATCTTTGTCACAAATACCTGTCTCTTCCTGTGTAATGGAAAAGCAGCCTTAGATAATATGGAAATCGATGGGTGTGACTGTGTTCCTGTAAAAATGTATTTAGAAACACTAAAATTTAAATTTTACAGAATTTGCATCTGCCATGTAATATTATTGTGATTTTTTTTCACCGTTAAAAATATGAAATCTGGCTGGGCGCCACGGCTCAGGCCTGTAATCTCAGCACTTTGAGAGGCTGAGGCGGGCGGGTTGCTTCAGGCTAGGAGTTTGAGACAAGCCTGGCCAACATGGTGAAACACGGTCTGTACTAAAAACAAAAAAAATGTTTTGTTTTTAGTATACTCACTGGGCGTGGTGGTGTATACCTGTAGTAACAGCTATTCAGGAGGCTGAGGCAGGAGGATCACTTGAATCCAAAAGGTGGAAGTTGCAGTGAGCCAAGATCATGCCACTACACTCCCGACTAGGCAAAAGAGAGACGCTGTGCCCCACAAAAAAAATTAGCCAGGTGCAGTGGACCATGACGGTCATCCCAGCTTCTGGGATGGCTTCTGGGAGACTGAGGCACGGGAATCATTTTAACCTGGGCAGTGGAGGTCACGATGAGCTAAGGTCATACCACTGCATTCCAGCCTGGGAAAGAGAGCAACACTCTGTCTCAAAAAAATCAAAAATGAAATCCATGCTGAGCTCATGAGCCATATGTGGACCTCAGTCTATTTTTGGCCAGCCCTTGGCTTAGAGGAATGTTCTGAGAGGCAGGTCACCTGCCACATTCTACTGCCAGCTCACAGTGTGACCCCGAAGCCAGTTAGCTCACCTCCCTGGCTCTAGATTTTGTCTTATGGAAAACGAAGGGGTTAGATCTCAAGTATGCCAAATACTGGGCCCTTCCCTTCCTTCTCATGCACACAGCAGATACCCACGGTCACTCATGGCATTCTTTCCCACTGAGTTACGTTCAAGCAGCCCTCCAGGTGAGCGCTGCCAGTGGACTGGAGTTGAGCAAGAAATGGCATCTCATTGCTCTTCGGTGACTCCATGTTCCCTAAGATCACTTCTAGCTCCAGTGCCCCTGCATTCTGCCTTGTACATCACATTCTTCTTACACCCTAGTCCCTTGACTTTACCAGGGTGCGTTGACAAACTCTGTCTCTTTTATGTCAAATTTTTTTTTTTTTGTATTTTTAGTAGAGATGGGGGTTTCTCCATGTTGGTCAGACTGGTCTTGAACTCCCAGCCTCAGGTGATCCACCTGCCTTGGCTTCCCAAAGTGTCAAAGTGTTGAGATTACAGGCATGAGCCACCGTACCCAGCCTCTTTTTTTTTTTTTTTTTTTTTTAGAGAGACGAATTCTCACTCTGTCGCCAAGGCTGGAGTGTAGTGGCACAATCTCTGTTCACTGCAGCCTCCGCCTCCTGGGTTCAAGTGATTCTCATGCCTCAGCCTCACGAGTAGCTGGGATTACAAGTGCACACCACCATACCTTGCTAATTTTTGTATTTTTAGCAGAGATGGAGTTTTACCATGTTAGCCAGGCTGGTCTTAATCTGACCTCAGGTGATCTACCCACTTCGGCCTCCCAAAGTGCTGAGATTATAGGCGTGAGCCTCTGTGCCCAGCCAATAGTTCGTTCTTGTACATAACTTAGTACTCAGTTGTACATTTGCACATAATGGGTAAATCTGTCTGTTCACTTGCTAATATATGTCTGGCTTACCTCCAGTTTGAGTTATCACAAACAAAGTAGCTAAGAACATTCCTGTATCAATCTTTTATAAACATATGTTCTCTGCTCTCTTGGGCGGATGTCTGGGAAGGGAGTGGCTGGCTGTATGGTCACTATGTCTAACTTAAAAAAAAAAAAAAAACCTGCCAAACTCTTCCAGAGTCACAGAAGCATTTTATAGTCATGCCAGCAGAAACCACAATCCAAAATGGCTCTAAGCTCTAAGAGGCCATATACAAAAAAGGGAACATAAAACTATTACACACAAACCAGTGAGGCATTGGGTCTTCAAACCCAAGCAGGGAGATTGCTCACACTTGCTTTTTTTTTTTTTGAGATGGAGTCTCACTCTGTCACCCAGTTTGGAGTGCAGTGGTGCAATCTCAGCTCACTGCAACCTCTGCTTCCCAGGTTCAAGCAATTCTCATGCCTCAGCTTCCGAGGTAGCTGGGATTACAGGCAAGTACCACCACACCCAGCTAATTTTAGTATTTATAGTAGAGACGGGGTTTCACCATGTTGGCCAGGCTGGTCTCAAACTCATGACCTCAGGTGATCCTCCTACCTCCACCTTCCAAACTGCTTTGATTACAGGCATGAGCCACCGCGCCCCAGCACATCTGACTTTTGAGAGGAAGTCACTCGGGTGAAGAAAGGTTGTAAAGGGGGCCAAGAAGCCATGCAGACCCCAAAGCCCAGGCCTCCCTCACCTGGCCCCTGAGCCTAGGAAACCCAGGCAGCCCAGACCTGCACAAGCTACATTCCCTTCTCCAGTTAACTAAAGGGATCGGGTGTAAAGAGCCATACCAGGAAATTCCAGCCTAGGACAGGGTTGTTCTTGTCACTCTCTCCAGTTCCACAGGGGTTACAGGTGCCAGATCTGGCTTATACCTTTGGGAATAAAGCAAGGGATACATCTATTAATGTTGCTAGGAAACAACACCCTGGCCCCAAGATGGGCATCCCTAAACACCAAGGTACTCACAGAGCCAGCCCCCTTTCAGGTGGCTTGCTTTCAAGCCCAATGAGCCAGTTCTCACCACACCCTCCTTGGCAAGATGGAAGTGTAGAAATGAATAAATACAACTTGTACAACTAAAAGCTGCCCAGCATTTACCCAGGACTAGGGCACAGCTTATTATGACATTTATCTCACTGAATTTTCAGAAAATACTCTGGGTAATAAATGGAGGTTCATGCCTGTAATCTCAGCACTTTGGGAGGCCAAGGTAGGTTGATTGTTTGAGCTCAGGAGTTCAAGAACAACCTGGGCAACATTGTAAGATACCATCTCTTAAAAAAAAAAAAAAAATTAGCCAGGTGTGGTGGCACGTGGCCACAGACCCAGCTACTCGTGAGGCTGAAGTGGGAGGATCACTCCAGCCTAGGCGATGGAGGCTGCAGTAAGCTAAGATGGCGCCACTGCACTACAGTCTGGACAAAAGAGTGAGACCCTGTGTAAAAATAATGGAGGCTCCCAGTGAGGCATGAAGGAACTTCATGGACAGGCCTTGGGGTCCCCACCCAGGTCTCCCTGCTTTTACTCCCATCCCTAATATCCACCTTCCCCAGGGCAGCATGGATTGTTATAAGCCAGAACTCAGCTGTGTATGGTGGATTGCACCTGTAATCCCAGCTTCTTGGGAGGCTGAGGCAGGAGGATCTCTGGAAGCCAAGAGTTGGAGACCAGCCTGGGGAACATAGTGACACCTGTCTCTATAAAAAAAAAAATAAAAAGGCCAGGCACAGTGGCTCACACCTATAACCCCAGCACTCTGGGAAGCCAAGGCAGGCGGATCACCTGAGGTTGGGAGTTTAAGACCAGCCTGAACAACATGGAGAAACCCTGTCTCTACTCTAAATACAAAAATAGTCGGGTGTGGTGGTACATGCCTACAATCCTAGCTACTCGGGAGGCTGAGGCAGGAGAATCACTTGAACCCAGGAGACAGAGGTTGTGAGCCAAGATTGCACCACTGCACTCCAGCCTGGGTGACAAGGGCGAAACTCTGTCTCAAAAAAAATACATATATAAAATAAATAAGTCAGGCATGGTGGTGCACGCCTGTAATCCCAGCTACTTGGGAGGCTGAGGAACAAGAATCGCTTGAACCCAGGCGGTGATGGTTGCAGTGAGCTGAGATGATGCCACAGCACTCCAACCTGGTGACAGAGCAACACTTGATCTCACAAAAAAAAAAAAAAAAAAAAAAAAAAAAAATTGTGTGTTTTGTTCCACTCCCTGAACCCTCAGGGACTAAACATCACTAAGCACAAAAACAGCAGTCAGTTTCACCTGCTCAACAAATTAAGAGCCAGGTCAGTAGAGGAGCATCTTGATTCAAACGCTGTCCTCCTCCTGAGGCTCTGCCTCTCCCATGGTTGTCTCCAACAACCTGGCAAGCTGCAGGGAATGCAAAGGTGGGCATCCTTCTTTCATAAAAGGAAGCCGAACCAGGCGATCAGCACAGGCATTGGTGATAAGGAATGCTGAAGTCCATGCTACAAATGTGGCCTTCATAGCAGGGAGAACACTATAGGTGAGGCTGAAGGAATCCAGGTGATAGGTGACGTTAGGGGTCAGTGTGACGGGGTTAAGGGATACCAGATGGCTGGTAAAGTGTTATTTCTGAGTGTGTGGCTGTGAGGGTGCTTCCATCCTCACCCCATGTGACTGGGCACCACCTAATCAGCAGAGGGTCCAGACACAAGAAAAAGTCAGAGAAATGGTAAATTCATGTGATCTCTCTTCTGCAGCCAGGATGCCATCGTCTCCTGCCCCCTGGAAATCAGAACTCCAGGCTGTCTGGCCTCTGGACTCACCCCAGTCACTCCAGGTTCTCAGGCCTTTGGTTGTGGACTGAGAATTCCACCATCAGCTTCCCTGGGTCTGAGATCTTCGGACTTGGCCTGAGCCACGCTACCGGCTTCTCGGGTTCTTCAGCTTGCAGATGGCCTAGCATAGGACTTCTCTATAATCACATGATCTAGTTTCCCTAGTAGATCCCCTCTCACCCTCAATCCATCCACTCACCCATCATCTATCAATCATCCATCATCTATCCATCCACCTATCATGTATCCATCCACTATCTCTCCATCTATCATCTAACTATCATCTACCAGTCTATCATTTATCCATCCATCCATCCTACTAGTTCTGTCTCCATGTAATATACAGAGACCCCACCTCTGCCTGCCAATGACCTTCAACTGGGTCATGGATATGGGCCATTTCCGTAGAATGCTCAGCCACGGAGCATTGTAAGTCTCCCATGAGACAATTTATCTCATCACCTGGACCACCCAAACGGCCTCCCACCAGGATCACAAAGTCCTTTGCTGAGGTCCGAGTGGCTGGCACCACGGATGTCCCAGATTTCCACCCACCATCAGGGTCTGACTGAAGGCCTATATCCTGGGCATCCCTGGAATAGAATGAGGAACTGAACCTGGGTCTGGGGATTGTCTCTGTATGGCCAACAGGTCTGTGGAGAATCCAATGCACCAGTCTGGCTCCGTCACAGCTTACCATAGTAAGCTTACCCCAGAACAGACAACAGAAACAAAAACAGCCACCCTACTTCCCCCATGTCACTTGCAATTTCACGTTCCAGCTTGTCCGGGCTCAGGATGCGTCTTACATCCTTGTTTAATTGGCAGTTGTTTTTCTTTCTTACTGTTACACACAATAACATATCGTGCAACTGATGGTGTCTCAGATTTGAAGAGTTAAGGTACATGCAGTGGAGGCCCTGACCTGATTCCCAAAAGAATGACAGAGGTGGTGCAGGGGGGCACGCCTTACATAGCGGGCAGAGTCTAAAACCCAGTATAGCCTAAATCACCTGCAAATGGGGCTCCTTTGGCTAAACGAATGTGCATGGTCAACTGGGTGTGTTGGACAGAAACACTTCAAACAGCAGGAACACGCGGGATGCCAAATGCTTAGAGACAGAAAAAGTGAGCCTGACTCAAGGAGGGACAGTCACGTGCCATGGCAAACAGCATCAACTGTCTGCTTGGGCAGCGTTTATCTCTCTTCTTTTCTTTTCTCGAGAAGGAGTCTCACTCTGTCTCCCAGGCTGAAGCGCAGTGGTACCATCTTGGCTCACTGCAACTTCTGCTTCCTGGGATCAAGCGATTCTTCTGCCTCAGCCTCCTAAGTAGCTGCGATTACAGGCGCTCGCCACCATACCCAGCTAACTTTTGTATTTTTAATAGAGATGGGGTTTCACCATGTTGGCCAGTCTAGTCTCAAACTCCTGACCTTATGATCCACCCGCCTTGGCCTCCCAAAGGGCTGAGATTACAAACGTGAGGCACCATGTCCAGCTTCTCTCTTCTTTTCTACTCAGTTGTCTTAATGACTTTTGAGATTTTACCACATCTGGCAGAAAAACAAACTGAGGCCCAGAGGAGAAGCGAGAACCACAAAGCTAGTAATAAGCAGCACTGCCAGGGCTGCAGCCTGGATTCAGGCCACAGGCAGGAAGGAGGGAACTGGGGCATCCTAGAGGACAAGGAAACTCACACTTACTTCCTAGACTTGGCGCATTTCTTCTTCTGGTTCTTTACCAATATAGGCATGACTTGTTCCAATGTGTCCTCCTTGTTTAAGGACCAGAGGCCACTGCTCTCCAAGGGGCTGGTGGTAGCCCCGGATGATCAACCTGAGGCCAAGACACGAGGGAGTTAGGCAATGAGAGTCAGTGAGAAGAGGAGGAGGATAGGGCTCACACACGCGTGCCGATGCTGCACCCCTCCCCAGCACAGCTGCCTGCTGCAAACGAAGGCAGCCACACAGCTGGGGGTGTCTGAATGTGGATAGACATTTGCACATATTACAAGGTTATTACAGCTCATTCTGTTGGGTCATAAAGGAAAAATGGCTTTCGTTTGGGGGGGTGCATAGAAAAGTTTTAGGGGAAAAAAGATGATTTAAGAGGAAAATATCAAGATGGCTCTAATTCACTATTTTTTTTTATCATTCATTTATTTTTTTATTTTTTGGTTTTTTTGAGATGAAGTCTCACTATGTCACCCAGGTTAGAGGGCAGTAGCATGTTCTTGGCTCACTACAATCAAGCAATTCTCCTGCCTCAGCCTCCCAAGTCTGGGACTAAAGGCACACGCCACCACACCTGGCTAACTTTTTGTATTTTAGTAGAGACAGGGTTTCACCATGTTGCCCAGACTGGTCTCAAACTCCTGAGCTCAGGCAATCTGCCCCCTCGGCCTCCCAGAATGCTGGGATTATAGGCATGAGCCACCATGCTCAGCCTCATTCCTTTATTTATTTATTTGGATGGAGTGCAGTGGCACAATCACGGACCCCTGCAGCCTCCAGCTCCTGGCCTAGAGTGATCCTCCCACTTCAGCCTCCCGAGTAGCTGGGACTTCAGGTGTGAGCCATTATGAGTGGCTAAATGTTTTTTATTTTTGTAGAGACAGAGTCTCCCTATGTTGCCCAGGCTGATCTTGAGCTCCTGGGCTCAAGCTATCCTCCCACCTTGGCCTCACGAAGTGCAGGGATTATAGGCGTGAGCCACCATGCCCCACCAACTTTTTAAAATTTTACATTAAAAGAGGTTAATATGGGCCAGGACCAGTAGCTCTTGCCTCTAATCCTAGCACTTCAGGAGACCAAGGTGGGAGGACTTCGTGGGTTTGAAGTTCAAGACCAACCTGGGCAACGCTGGGTGACTAACTCTACAAAAATTAAAAATAAAAAATATTACCCAGTCATAATGGCTCACACCTGTAGTCCCAGCTACTCAGGAGGCTGAGGTGGGAGGACTGCTCTAGGCCAGAAAGTGGAGGCTGCAGGGAGCCGTGATCATGTCATTGCACTCCAGCCTGGGCAACAGAGCCAGGCCCATTTGAAAAAAAAAAAAACAGGTTGAGGGGGGAAAAAAAAGGCTGATGTGACAAAGCATTAGCAATCATGAAACCTGGGTGATAAGCTTATTGAGTTTTATTAATCTTTCTATGTGACTCCACCCAGGCTGGGTACAGTGGTGCAATTTCGGCTCATTGTAACCTCCGCCTCCTGGGATCAAGCGGTTCTCCTGCCTCAACCTCCCAAGTAGCTGGGATTACAGGCACCTACCACCACACCCGGCTAATTTTTGTATTTTTAGTGGAAACAGGGTTTTACCACATGGGCCAGGCTTGTCTCAAACTCCTGACCTCAGGTAATCCACCCACCTTGGCCTCCCAAAGTGCTAAAATTATAGGTGTGAGCCACTGCACTTGGCAAACTGAACACTTTTGTAATAAAAAGTTAAACATTTTCATTTTTTGTTTTAAAATAATTTCAAATGTACAGGAAAATTACTCAAATCATACTAAGAATTCACTCAACTCACCACTATTAACATGTTGCCAAGTTTACAGTAATATTCTGTCTCTTATCCATTCACACACACACGTGCAAACACATCTTTTTCTAAACCATTCAAACAGTTAAAGGACTAGCACAGTGGCTTACACCTGTAATCCCAGCACCCTGGAAGGTTGAGGTGTGTGGATCACCTGAGGTCAGGGGTTTGAGACCAGCCTGGTCAACATGATGAAAACCCATCTCTACTAAAATAGAAAAATTAGCCAGGCATGGTGGTACATGCCTATAATCCCCAGCTACTCAGGAGGCTGAGACAGGAGAATAGCTTAAACCCAGGAGGCAGAGGCTGCAGATCATGCCACTGCACTCCAGCCTGAACAACAGAGCAAGACTCTGTCTCCAAAAAAAAAAAAAAAGTTAAGATGTAGGCTCTACATATCTTTACCCCTAAAAAACTAGGGGTATCCCCTTACAATCCAGGACATGCTCTTATGTAACTGGAGCACAATTTTCCAAAACAAGAATGAATGCTAATAAATTAGCATGCATCCGGTGTCCTGCAGTCATATACAAATTACATCAACTGTCCCAGTGACACTCCTTAATAGTAATTTGAAGAAATTATTTAAAACATCTAATCTTTTAAAAAGATGTTTGTAAAAGGTTCATAAAGAGAAGAATGAGACCAGGCATGGTGGCTCATTCCTATAATCCCAGCACTCTGGGAGACAGAGGCAGAAGAATCACTTGAGCTCAGGAGTTGGAGACCAACTTGGGCAAGATGGTAAAACCCCATCTCTGCAAAACATACAAAAATCTGTTGGGCATGTGTCTATAGTCCCAGCTATTCAGAAGGCTGAGGCAGGAGCATCACTTGAACCCAGCAGATCAAGACTGAAGTGAGCTGGGCACGGTGGCTCACGCCTGTAATCCCAGCACTTTGGGAGGCCAAGGCGGGTGGATCACGAGGTCAAGAGATCGAGACCATCCTGGTCAACACGGTGAAACCCTGTCTCTACTAAAAATACAAAAAAATTAGCTGGGCATGGTGGCGCGTGCCTGTAATCCCAGCTACTCAGGAGGCTGGGGCAGGAGAATTGCCTGAACCCGGGAGGCGGAGGTTGCGGTGAGCCGAGATCGCGCCATTGCACTCAAGCCTGGGTAACAAGAGCGAAACTCTGTCTCCAAAAGAAAAAAAAAAAAAAAAAGACTGAAGTGAGCTATGATTGTGCCACTGCACTCCAGCCTTAGAGACACAAAGCCTGTCTCCAAGAAAACAAAAAGATGATGCATATTAGGGTGAAAGATTCTTCAAATAATCCCCAATAAGGTGTTAACAATGGGCAGAAAAAGATGTACAAAAAGAAAACCACAAGGTGGCTGGGCATGGTGGCTCACACCTGTAAGCCCAGCACTTTGGGAGGCCAATGTGGGTGGATCCCCTGAGGTCAGGAGTTCAAGACCAGCCTGGCCAACATGGCAAAACCCTGTCTCTACTAAAAATACAAAAATTAGCCAGGCATGATGGTGCACGCCTGTAATCCTAGCTACCTGGGAGACTAGCAGGAGAATTGCTTGAACCCAGGAGGCAGAGGTTGTAGTGAGCTGAGATCGCGCCACTGCACTCCAGCCCGGGAGACAGAGGGAGACTCCATCTCAAAAAGAAAAGAAGACCAGAAGGAGGCATACTAAAATGGTGACAGTGGTTGCCTCTGGGTGTTTCTTTACTACTAATCTGGACATGTTTTTTTAACCCACATTGCCTATTGTGAGACAGTATTATTTTCCTAAGGAGTGGGGGACAGGCGGGGAACAATGTCAATAATAACTATACCTAATATTTAAAAAAACCAAATCTGTCAGGTTGAACACAATGTCTAGGCAAGAAATAAAAATAAAAACCCAAATCTGAAGCTAAAGCAAGAGCAGTCCAGTGTAGGGCTGTCCTAGGCCAAGCCTCCTGCAAGATATTTAAGCTGCTGATGGCTCATGTGTTTATCACATTCAAGGTGATGGATTTGGGGGACAGAATTGGTGTCTCAGAGACCACCACATGGCCAGCACAGGCAGATTCAAGACAACTCTGCAGAAGAGCAAAGGAGAGAGAAGTCAAGCGGGGAGCTCGGCATGTTTCATTCATTCATTCATTCATTCATTCATTCCCCACCACCTTCCTGAGGTCTCTGGGGCCCAGCCTTACCCTGTGATCCACCAGAAGGTGATCCTGGACAGGAACGAGGCGCTGGACTCTGGGCAAGGATTCTAGTGTAAAGGAAGAACAGGTTAGGGAGGAAGAGGGAAAGGAATGATTCAACTTTTTATCAAGGCCAGAGCTTGGCAAGGAGTAGACAGCTGCCTATTCTTCCTTCAAGAGGACCAGTGTTGGCCTGGCGCGGTCGCTCATGCCTGTAATCCCAGCACTTTGGGAGGCAGAGGCAGGCGGATCACAAGGTCAAGAGATCAAGACCATCCTGGCCAACATAGTGAAACCCCATCTCTACTAAAATATAAAAATTAGCTGGGTGTGCTGGCACACGTCTGTAGTCCCAGCTACTCAGGAGGCTGAGGCAGGAGAGAATTGCTTGAACCTGGGAGGCGGAGGCTGCAGTGAGCCAAGATCGCGCCACTGTACTCCAGCCTGGCGACAGAGCAAGACTTTGTCTCAAAAAAAAAAAAAAAAGAGGACCAGTGTCCGCTCCATACCATTATTCTGCACCCCAAAAGGATTCTCTCCTAAGCCCCAGGAGAAAGAAACTCACAGCAGCTCCTCTCATTTCACTGTTGAGTGTCTACCAGGCGCAACCACAATACAACAAGCTGTTGACTTGCCTTATTTTCTATCCCCACAGCAACTCTAGGAGCTGGTGTTACCATCATCCTCACTTCACTCATTCATTCAACAAATATTTTCTGAGCACCTACCATGTGCTAGGCACTCTACAAGGTACTACAGGGTTACCTTAGGTCCCCACGACAACCTCTGAAGCTGGTATTACTATTGTCCCCATTTTCCTCATTCAGGCATTGAATATTTATTGACCACCTACTATGAGCTACACACGCTACCAAAAACTTATATACTTTCATCATTTTATATCCTCATGGAATTCTATAAACATGGTATTACTATTATCTCCATTTCATTCATTCATTCAATGAATATTTCCTGAGCACCATCCATGTTCCAAGCACCCTGCATACAAATCTAAACAAACAGAAATGACCCCTGCCTGTATGGAGCTTGTGGTCCACTGCAATAATCATAAGTAATACTTGCCAAGATTCTCTACTATTAATAGCTAGCTCTGTTCTAACTGCTTTACACAAATTACTTTATTTAATCTTCATCCCCACCTCACAAGGTAGGTGAAAGTATTATATCATCGCTGTTTTGCAGTTAAAAGACACTGGGGACCAGAGATGAAATGATTTGTTCAAGGTCCCATAGCTAAAACTGGTGGAGACAGGATGTGAGCCCCAAAGAGTCAGGCTTCAGAGAGAGAGACATGCATCAAATGATCACACAAACAAATGCAAAACTGTGACTTCTGGGCCTTGATATGTGTCCTAAAGGTACAGAAATATTACCAATCATAAAAAAGTCAGCACATGGGGGCTGACCTGGTGTACCAAGGTCAGAGAAGCTCCCCCGAGGAAGACAGTCAAGCTGGCACCTGAAAGATGAGTAGAGGAGAACTAAGTAACGAGGAAAAGCAAGGCATTCCCAGCAGACAGCAGTGTGTGCAAAGGCCTCGTGGTAGAAGGAAGCATGGCAGGCTCTAGGAACCAAGAGGGGGCCTGAGCAGTCTACACTGAAGGCGGTGCATAGTCTACACTGCAGGCCGCATATTTTGGTATTGATTCTAAGGGCAAGGGAAAGTACTGAGAGACTCTTAAGCAAGTTATCAAAGAACTTATTTCCCAGAGGCACGAAGGTGAGCCCCAACTCAACACACAGTAGGCAAGTAAAGGGATCGACACAGAGTCCTGGGATGGCAGATCAAGCCTGGCTTTCAACTCAGATGCGTTCGGGTCAAAATTCTGAAACACAAGCTTTAAGCAGGAGAGGGAAGAAAGGTCACCATGTAGCAATGCGAGCTTTAGTCAAGGACTCCACTCAAATTTCCAGCCTTGTGTAGAGATAAAGCATTTACAGAGCCCGATAAGGCAGCATACTCTCCTCAAGTGGTTTTCCATCCAAGGCTAGGCATGCTTTTTAAAAAATACTGTATCCTGGCGGGGTGTGGTGGTTCATACCTATAATCCCAGCACTTTGGGAGGCCAAGGCGAGCAGATCACTTGAGGTCAGGAATTGGAGACCAGCCTGGCCAATAGGGCAAAACCCCATTTCTACTAAAAATACAAAAATTAGCTGAGAGTGGTGGCTCACGACTGCAGTCCCAGCTACTCGGGAGGCTGAGGCAGAAGAATCACTTGAACCCAGAAGGCAGAGGCTGCAGTGAGCTGAGATCCCACCACTGCACTCCAGCCTGGGGACCCTGTCTGTCTCTGGACCCTATCCCCACCAGGGATTCTGATTAAGCTGGTTTGGGATGCGACTGGGGCCCTAAAACTTTTTGTTTTAAACGTCCACACTCTCCTTGGAAAAGTGGCTGGGCAGGAAATATGCAAGATAAGCCAAGAACATCCTGTAACACTGGACAACAAGGAAACTAAGCATAAACAGGATTGTTAGAAGGCCCAAGAGCCAAGCAGAAGTGGCACAACAGGCTAAAAAAGGAACAATTTAAGTGCAACGAGCTGAAACATACCATATATATATATATATATATTTTTTTTTTAGACGAAATCTTGCTTGTCTCCCAGGCTAGAGTGCAGTGGCATGATCTTGGCTCACTGCAATCTCTGTCTCCTGGGTTCAAGTGACCCTCCTGTATTGGCCTCCCAAGTAGCTGGGATTACAAGCATGAGCCAAGGCAGTTGGCTAATTTTTGTATTTTTAGTAGAGGCAGGGTTTCACCCTGTTGGTAACCAAGCTGGTCTTCAATTTCTGACCTCAAGTGATCCATCCACCTCAGCCTCCCAAAGTGCTTGGATTACAGAAATGAGCCACCGCACCTGGCCAAAAACCTCCATTTTTCCTTACGGTTTTAATGATTAATTTCACCTAATAATGTGAAAAGCAATGAGTCTCTAGTAGTCTTATCCCAAAGACTGGGGCCAATTATAAAGTACTACTTTGCTCAGTCCCATTTTCCTTCAAATCACCTATTTTGAGTAAATACACTAGTTTCATTTTCCACCCCTGTATAGGGGCAGTAAATACTACTAGGAAATAAACCATAATTAGCACCAGTACAAATTCAAGGTTATCAACCTGAGTGTAAGCATTGCTTTGTATTTTTTTTTTTACCCATCCCAGGTTACAGTCTCCTACTACCCCAAAATGAAATCTCAAATGTCCTCCATTCTGCATAAAACCCATGCTGGCCCCTCAGTGGAAAACATCAACCATGAATTATCGGTCTCTTCACTTTACCTTCACACCACAGATTTCTCTCACACTGACTCTGCTTATTACCATGTATGTCTAGCATTAGACTGGACTCCTACGGAAGAGGAACTCACATTCGTTTCTCAGTCCTAAGGGCAAAACTCCAAAGTGTAATTAAGGAAAGAAATAACTCCAAGTCTTTCAAGTTCTGAATTCATGGTCCTCTAAAAAATGGCAGTGTATATTCAAGCTCTGCTTGTTTTCCTGATCCAGTTCTCCACCTTTGGGGGGGTCTTACAAAATATGTCAGGAAGTCAGAAATGTCTAGAGATTACTCCCACATGGTAATCTCTGCAAATAAAACTCTTAGACCTAACTTTATACTAATAAAAATTCCATTTTTTTTTTAAGACAGGGTCTTGCTCTGTCACCCAGGCTGGAGCACAATTACAGCTCACTGCAACTTCATCTTCCTGAGCTCAAGCAATCCTCCCACCTCAGCCTCCCGGGTACTGGCCACAGGCACAAGCCACCATGTGTGGCTAATTTTTTGTATAGATGGGGTTTCACCGTGTTGCCCAGGCTGGTCTCAAACTTCTGGGCTCACAGGATCTGCCTGTCTCAGCCTCCCAAAGTGCTGGGATAACAGGCGTGAGCTACTGTTTCCAGCACCAATACCACATTTTAATTGTGTCTTTGGGGTGGCTGGATTGAAGGAAGAAGTGGGTACTCCATTTTCTTTTATTTCCCAGTCCTAAGGAGTTTTAAACACACTAATATTAAAGTTTAAATGCCCTAGAGCTGAAAAAGATATTTAAAAACTTGACAGTCTCACAGTATCTAAGTTGAAGAAAAATAATAAAATGCAAGGTGCTTAATATTTTAAAAGAATTTAAGTGAATTTTGCAACTGTAAAAATGAAATCAGAATAATCTGAGAAAAGATTTCAGAGATGAAAAGCATGATTTACCAAATTTAAAACAGGAAGAGAAGCAGTAAGTAGCAGATGAAATATAACCAAATAAAAATTAGCAACATAAAAAAAGTCAGGAAATGAATTATCCTACAACTCGCATCAAAAGGACAAAACAGATTAACAAGATGAAAGAAAAAATGTTAGAAATATGCAGATCAACCTTATCAATACTATGCAGAGAAAGTTTTTTTTTTTTTTTTTTTTTTGACAAATTTGAGCATCGAGCATCTAGTATACTACAGCCATGACACAACAGAGAATAAGAGAGACATGGAATGTGTCTTCAAAACGTCCACATTCTAGAACAAATGAAGCTGAAGTAGTAACCAAAGAAATTACTGAAGAAAACTATGCTTATGAAGAAAGGGAGTAGGAAGAGAAGGAAAGGAAAAAAATAAATGTACACATTTTAAGTTTTAGCCAAGTTTAAGGCAAAGAGATTCTGATAGAATTTCAAAGATTTCAGAGATAAAGTATCCTCCAAGCAGTGACGACTGGGTGTCTAGGGTAATCAAGTTTTTAAAAAAATCTGGGTGGCACTGTTTTTAAACAAATACCACATGTGGACAAGGATACAATTAAATTGGCACTCCCGTACATTTGAAGTGGGTACATAAATTGTTTTAATTTTCTAGATGTAAATTTGACGATTCCACTTCATGTACGGCTTAAGAACCTTACTAAGGTTTCTGCCAGGCATGGTAGCTCACCCCCTGCAATCCCAGCACTGTGGGAGGTTGAAGAAGGCAGATCACTTGAGGTCAGGTGGATCACCTGAGATCAGGAGTTCAAGACCAGCCTGGCTAACATGGTGAAACTTCATATCTACTA